CTGTCATCGACTCCTGATTGATACAAATCTGTTCTTTTTCATTGAATCTCAAAAGGTTGTGTATGGACAGGATATGTGAACGGCAGCTGTTGCAGGGCACCACGTACGATTACCCCTGTTAGTATCCAGTTTTGATCTTTAACAGTGAGTGATATGAGATTTTCTCACTCGAGTCGAATCATCGAACATTGAAGATTATTTGAAGGTAACTTTCTCAACCTTGGAATAGTTTTATATTGATTAGCTACCTGTTTTCTTCAAAAAAAGTATAGTCATTTGTCTCTGAGGTGGGTGGAGCGTCCACCGAAGTGGGCGGAGCTAGAGCTGGAACTCATAATGTGCTTACTGGACGGTGCGTCAAATGTGTTGTGGGCAGAAATGAATTCGGTTTGGTATATCGCCAAGGAACCATGGTATGCGCGCGATAGCGTTCGGCGCCAACTGCCTTCAACACTTTTATATATTTAACCCTAGGATCTGAGGTTCAACCATAGCGTGTTCTTGGTAGTGATCGGAGCGTGATCACTCATTTCGACGAGGCGATACCACTACCCTTTCGAAAATGAAACTTCTTTTCTCGATGTAACCGCGAAATCGCCCAATACTCATTGTCGAAGACTCCGAGTTTGAGTTTTACGATTTCAATATACGCATTTTTCGAGATCATCCACAAGATCAGACACCTTCAACAATCCCACAGCGAACTAACTGCATAGCTGGCCTAAAAACTAGGTAGTAGTGTTTTTTTGTTCAATCGCTTGGCGTGAGGTTACGGTAGTTGCCCTGAGTACGCAGTTGCACAGATTACCCGAGGTGTCAGTACGTAACGCGAAATTTTGCTGTTCTGACAAGTACAGCTGCGTAGCCGTGCTCACACGATCGAGTGCATACGATGGCGCGGGTTCTCGATCGTGCTGCCCTCTGGTCATTTGGCGCCCTAATCTATCAGTTGTATTGGTTCCCTTTAACAAAGTGCCATTCTTTTTATCATTCGTGATTCTTACAGTGTTCGTGCAATATTATTTACAATGGTTATTCGTGAAAAGTACACGTAGATCCTTTTTTATGATCGATGGTTAGCCTTGGCAGGCTCATCGATTTCTCAGCTCGAATTCGGGTACGATTGCCTGTAGTTCCACTCACTGTTGTCCATTATTAAGTTTGTCTTGCATTGTTTCATCGTACTGAGTTGGACACGCTTCGGGTCTCATCCATTAAGGGGGAGGGGGGGGGGGCATTGTGATGCTATGTCAAGTGGCTGCCCCCATTCCGACCCTCCTCTAGACTGCCTACACTCCCCCTAGCTCACGGAGTCTTATACATCGAGAAACCTGTGCGCCAGGGGAGTATAGGCAGTCTAGGGGGTGGGAGGTGAGGGCAGCCACTTGATGCCCCCCTTACTGGGTGAGACCCCGCGCTCAATTAGAAGCCAGCTTTGTCGAACTAATTGCTTGGGCTCTATTTTTGTCATGAAGAAGGCTTGGTGGTCGTTATCATTTTCAAGTGTTGAACTGCGAATCTGCGTCCAACGGATTTCTTTCAAACTTTTATTTTCTGTTGCAGAATCGGGCGCGAATATTGTTCAACTCGCCATGGGCAATGGACACGGAGCTCAGTCTAGTGAGTTGCTTCCAGTTTTTTTTGCTGGTGATATGTGGTAATAAAATACCCACTTTGAAATACCCTAAACTTGGAAATGATAGACCAAAGTTTCCGCTGCGTGGCTTGGCATAGAACGGCCCTACACTTCTTTTCGCTGCGAAGGAGTCCATTGAGAAAACTCATCGTAAGTGTGGGATGTCGATGAAGCTAGTTAACACATTCAGCTAGCTGGGTTAGTCTTCAGTTCCTGCTGCGCTACTAGTTGTCCGTCCAAGTGATAGGCCAGTTCACTGTTTTTTCGAGACAGAGTGAAAGTACCGATCAGGTCCATTGGTGAGTTATCCAGTCATCAATTAGTTCTTCTGGCTGGAAAATTCTAATGTTACGAGGTATCATCTGCTCTCCTCAGTTCACCTATTGTGTCTGCATTATTTGCACCTCATACTTTCACTTATTCGCTAGCGTGCTTAATCGAATCACATTGAGCGAAATAAACTGTCAGGAGCTCAAATCTCGCGTATGAGTAAGCAGTTACAGATTTCCCGAGGTGTCAGTACGTAACGTTGAAATTTTGCTGTTCTGACAAGTACAGCTGCGTAGCCGCGCTCACAAGAGGGCGCGGGTTGTCAATCGTGTTACTTCCTGGTCGTTTCCCGCCCTAAGTTTTGTTGGTTCCCTATATCAAAGTGCCATCTTTTATCCTTCTCCCTTATCACTATTGAGCGAATTAAACTTCTGGTAAAGGAAATGATTAGCAGTGCTTTAATGACGCAAGTGACAAATATTTTTACGTACGAATTTCGTCTGCCGGGTAGTGTGAGAGCGTTGTATTTTGTTTAGCATTTTCATTATATTTGACCTTACTGTATATTTTTTGCGCAACTAAACAGCTCAACATTTTAGGCTGAACTAAGCTGCCCCAATGTGTATCTCATGAACACCATTCTCTAATTGTGACTACGAAAGTCATACAGATGTAGCTGTACTTCGATCGGATTCTATTTAATAGTAGTTATACATTAACAGTTGGAGACCGCGCATGTTTTACGATTTGCGGCCGCGCGGGAATTCAGTGAAATTTCAAGTATTTTATTAAGGACATTGGAAAGAGAAACCTAGTGTATGATGCAGAGGAAACCTTATTGAATGAAATGGAAAAAAAAACAGAAGAGAAACCTAACATTTGCTCCCAAAATGTTGTAAGGTTATAGATATTCGAGGGACCGCAGCCCACATATGAGCTGCATGGGCTCCAAAGCAGTTAAGTAATTCAGAGTTGAGCTTTTGGAGTGGGATCAGAGAATTGTCTTCCTACGTTATTAAACATAAATCTGATTCACCCAGCTAGCCAGGTATGGGGGGAGCCGGGCCTCTGGGGTGTGACGACAGAAAATGGTTCGTCTGAGGTTGAGGCGAAACGAACTATTCTATCCTCATCCATCTCTTTAACTACATCTTTTGCTTTTCCTAATGGATGGGTTGATAGTATTATTCCTGTGCAGACTAAGTTGTGAATGTACTGCATGAGCATGCCTCTGTTGCGCCTTAAGACAAATTCTCCTCTGTCTGTCATATCTGCTCAGCGATATGAGCAAAGCAGTGAGAGTCGGCCTTTCGTGCGAGTTGGGGTGGAGGTGCAAAGCGGATTGAAATCCTCAAGTGTTAAGCCGTCTTAATGACACAATTGACAGCCTGAGGGATAGGAGGGGTAGCGAGCGAGGGAGGATTGGCCTTTGCGGTTCCTTGGCTTCTTGTCTGTTGAAATGAATCGCGCAAACCTCTCGGTTTTTGATGATTTTCTCTTCGATTTTTTGACTTCGACTCTGTGGCACTCTACCGCTTGCCAAGCATGTGCTAGGTGTTTTCTCGCTGAATGAATATAAAATTCATGATGAGAAGGTCAAATACCTCTCCTGATGATAAATTTTGTCAACTCGAGGTTTTGACTCTGACATCAAAAAGCTGGTTAAGGCTTTCGGAAGGTCATTCCGACCTATTTTTGCCTTGTAAGCAGTAATTATTTCTGCTGTTGCTGTTGTTATGCGAATTGGGGATGATTCTAGGTCAGGGTTATCCAGCGTTCGTGGGGAAAGCGGCGCAGGACAATCACTGGAGATTGTAGTACTGTCGCGATATACACTGGTGTGCAAAACTTAGGGACGAACGTAGCTTTTCGAACGACGAGGTAGTGGCGCGTAAGATGATTCTATAGAACCTAACCCCACATACAAAGAGCTGCCACAGGACACTAAAGAAAGCATTTAACAGTAGCCGTTAAACGGTCCACAAAGCTATCAGAAGGTTATGATACTTTATCTGTCTCGTCCCTAAGTTTTGCACACCAGTGTAGTGAACATTATGAATTATAAATATAGTTAATCAACTTTACTGGTTTTAATGTCGGCAGTCCTCTTTGCTATATAATGTATTAGTGAAAGTTCGAACAGTTTTGAGTTGAACGTTTGGAAGTCTTACTCGTTCTGTTGTCGGTAAGATCGCACAATCATAGGAAAATTGATTGAACCCGACCGCTTCCTACAGCTTTCCACACGGAATGTGTTTTGCTGCGTCCGTTAAGTGTTGAGGTAATTCACTACTCTAGTACAGTGAACTTACTCCTATGAACTTGTCAGTTGGTATTATCCTTCTGCCATTCCACAACATTAAATGATTGGCAGGCTTTCTCTAAGATCGACCAGAGGCAACTAGTCAAGGCCAGGAGTGCGTATGCTGTACCGTGCCAGAACTAACAGCGAATAACAACCCTTCCACTCCAGTTTCCACAAGGACTCCAGTTCGATAGGCGTCAGCACGCTGCCATCAACTGACCGGTTCGTCCGCCGTGGTTCAGCGCCCAGACGATCTGCTGATAGTCGCAGTCAAAAACACCTGTATTAAACGACTGCTGCCGGAACGTTCAGTTCACTCGTTCAGTGAAATGAACTTGTCAGCTGGTGTTCTTCGTCTGTCCACACAACAAGTGGCGACCCACAGACTACCACTAAGATCGAGGGAAGACAGTCAACGAAGCTGAAGAAGTGTGTCTGCTTACCGAACCAGATCGACTGGTGAGTAAAGATTGTCGTTTCCCTGCAAGAATTCATCTCGACTCTAAGCGTGAGCAATCTGCTGCTCAGTTGACCAGTTCGACTTTGGAGCAGGGTCAGATTATCTGCTTGCTACCTCATGACGTGGCAATCGTCGTTACCAGCTCGCCATCGTCGATGCTGATGTCGCTCTCAAGTTACCGAAGACATGCTATCTTCTTCCGATCTCTCAGCAAGTGGATGGTCACACGAAGGTCGGCAGCTTGTGCATGATTATTCACCTGAAGATGCTGGACGCCGAAATCGATTATTCAATCAGATGTCATACTAAGCTCCTAGACTTGTGGATGCATGCCTAAGGTAGTCTGTAATCTTCAGATGTCATCACTTTACTCTATTGCTCTGCCCATACGGCATATCTTTGTCACGTTTTGTATCCTGTGATTCATTACATTCGCGAGGCGCATTTTACGTCTTCACAATGTGCTCCATTCTATCATACCTGTGAATTAATCATATTCGTGTACCATTGGTATCCCTTCAGCGTTGCACAAGTGGAACGCTATGCGAACATTGCAATCTAAAAAGTTTATTTTCTCCCACAATTTAAAATGAGATTAATTACGTTCTTTTGAATTCAAACCGAATGCTCCCAACTAAAAATGAAAGAGCGCATTTTGCTTTTGAAAATGCTCTCTTCCATGAGAATGAGAATAATTTGTCACGGGAATATGGTGCACGGTTGTAGCCCATGGGTTCCTCTATGGGTCATGGACCATTCCGACGTAATCTGAATCTGTTAGGGAGGAGTCATATATAGTCAGAGCTATTGTGTGTAGAATCCTTTAGTAAAGAGGTTGAATAACTTAGTTTCTGCCTCAGCCTAGAGCGTTTACGGTAGGGCGCAGGGAAAGCCATATTCTGATGATGGTGAGGAAGTGGAAGAAGGCCCGCTTTACTTATGAGCGGATTTTCAGGAATGTTTTGCCGTAAAACTCCATCAACGGCAGCGTTCTCTGCGATGAAAAGTCTGATGTTGTGTGCCATGGGAAAACTAACTTTTTGTCCACCTCTCCTCTCTTAGCGGCGGCCTGTGGGCGACAAATATTGGGTTGGTGCATAATATCGTAGCGTTTTTTTTTGGGCGTGTAAATTCAATCCGTACAAGAGAAAACCTAAAAATTGCCTATACCTTTTGAAAGTGCTTTTTTCGCTCTAAAAAAACTACTTCGTCATTTCCCTCAAAATTATATTTGTACTCATAATAATGCTTAGAAGTTGGAAAATCGAGACGGCAGAAATCGGCATTTCGACAGCTGTTATTTTTCAAGTTCACATAAGAAAAAAACACTGTCAAAACAAAAGTTCTTCAGAATCCATTGCTCTTAACGAACCCCTCTCTAACCAACCCTACATATTTCACTCAAATTAAGACCCTATTCATGTCGTACAGTTTGCAAAATAATGATGACTTCGCTAGCGAACCCAACATCTTTTTTTCAATTCCAAATCCAGTGACTTTCTGCAAAATAGGATAAAAGTCGTAAATAATGGCAAAGTGGACATCCCTGATTAGTTTTATGTTTTTAATTTCTTCACAAAACGTTTGCGTGCAAAAATGAAAAATGCAAGATATTATGCACCAACCCAATATATTCGAGTCTCCATTGTAAACTACTCATAGTCTTATCGTTCGTGACTCCCTTTTCCACGCTATAGATTGCGCTAAATTTACTTTTGCAAAGATCCGGTATTTTGGAAAGGCAAAGCGATACAATAGATTAATACAGTGGCGAACAAGCAGTTTTTGGGTGTTCCCTGTTCCCAAAAATTGAGTCTCAAACTGGAACGATTCTATACCGTGTACATAACAAAACAATGAGAAGTCAATGCGGAAACTGTTGAAACTTAACTTGTCTCGAACAAATCTTAGTGGCTGCAAACCATGCGAGCAAACCAGGAAATCTCATCGTCCAGCCAAGTGAGGGCTTGGAAAGCCCTCGGAAAATTCCAGTATTCCACTTTAGAATCCGCAAAAGAGGTTGAACACAAATCTCTTCTTCGCCAATAGTTGTACCGTGGAGCGAGCTAATTGCAAAGAGAAAGGCAGCTCAATACATCAAAAAAGAACAAGCTTGACTTGAAGAAGCACTCTCAGGCATCCCTTCTGTAAAACACTCACTTTAAAAGATGTTCAAAAAAAAACATGGCCCTCATAAGTTTTACAACGTATTCTGGGTTAATATAGCACCGCTCAAAATTTGGAATATGCGTAAAGGAATTGAATTTTAGGGGTGTCGCTCGGTATCGGGCGACATTGTCGTCTGTGTTAAGACTTTCTGGAACGTTCATGAATTTACCTTCTCGGCCGATTTGTCAGTTAGAGCTTCACCGTGCACGCCACGGTTACAGGAATAGCGCCGATCCATGACTAGAATATTAGTCGCTCGCACTCATCCTACCATGAAAAGGGTCAGCGCCGGCTTCAGCAATGAACAGTGCAGGGGTAGTCCTGTGAAGGGTGAGAGTCAAGGATTCCTTTGAAGAGGGTTCCAAAAAGTGTGTTTTCGCCTTTTGTTTCTCTCCGTTGACTTGCCACCTCAATTACTGCAGGGAGAATGACCTGAAAGTGAATTTGGTCTAGTTAAAAGTTAAATTTGGTCTATACCACAGCTCTGGGCTGATACTCATTCTTACAAGCTCGATGAGCACATGGATTGGTTATAGGCTGTAGCTTCGAAGGTGTTTATAGTCATTGAAAAAGGACAGTTCTTGAAAGTTTGTAGCGGTTCTTAGGCAGCTTTCCGCCACGGAGCACTTCTATTGCATTCACTTTCTTAGTGATATCAGTAAGCAGTAGAAATACTTGTCATGATCCCTTCTTTTTCCAAGAGTTTGCACATGTAGAAATTTAGGGGTCTTGGGTTTTGTAAAAGCTTTCATGTTCAGAGTTTAAAAGGGGCAAGTGTTCCAGTTCTGGCACCCATTTCCGTCTGCAAGTGGATTATCCCTAAAAAATTGTAGTTCTTGAAACAATGAAAAATCCTAAAAATTTTTGCAATCATTTGGGGGTCATTTCCTGATAGGCATCGTGAGCGTATTTCTTTTTCCGAAAGTGAAGGTCCAAAAGCTCTGACTTGTATCTTTTGTCATACGTTATCCTCAATGAAGCTATACTTTCCAAAAATAGGCACGGTTTCCTACTTCTGTTCCGAAACAGCTCCATGACTTCACGTGTAACAGCGGAAAAGTTCTGCATGTGTCGTCCTCGTGATGGAAATGTTTGCTCATACGACTCAGGTTGGGGAGTTCGAAATTTCCCGCTACGCTATGCTTGGCCAATTCAAACACCTCCTTATCGGAATAGCAAAGTCGGTGGCGCTTTCTTTATGCATTTGAAGCAAGACGATTCGGGGAGTGTAGAGGTAAACAATTCCGAGAAAAGCAACCGCTATGAAGTGTAATTCGAACTAGTGTCGAAGGGCAAAACATTGATGAGTAAGCGTCTTTGTCACTTCGAAAATTAGTAAACTGGAAAATGTAACTTCTTTCACGTAACTGTGGCGCGTGCTGCAGACCTGCTCGCTTGTTGTTAAAGTTGCTGCTCAGATATATATATAGATATATTGTGTTTCAACAATTCATTAGTATTAATAATATTCCCTCGTGTGGCGTTGCTAGTGGGTACAAATAATTAACGTGGTGAACTTGTACCTGCATCAGTTTAGCTTGTGGCTTACAATGCAGTCACTCGAGCAACATTCAAAAATGAAGACCAATGGTTGACGTTTTGATGCAGCTTTGAGTTAACAACTCTTTGGTCGGAAGGTGTTTTTGCAAGATAGCTGGCCTCACTCAGTGATCGATCACTTTACGCTGGCGGTCAGGTCGCGGAGGTGCCGCAAGGGATAGTGTTCGAATCTCATTGCTTCATTTTCAGCTATGGTGGACTCATTTTCTGATCTGGGCGGAATCACAGTGAATCAAGGTCTGTATTGAACGTTGAGTTGTGACAATCTTATCACTTTCCTTGTCTATATGGCTATTTAGGAACTACAGAAACTCGGCTTCCGCAACTTGGTTTTCACGTGGTTCATGGGCAAAACGTAGTTTTACAAAAAGGTAATTTATCTTCAACTATCATTTTGCGTCATGTCGTCTAATGCAGTAGTTCAGGCGGCAGAGTGGCGAGACGAAAAGAAAGCTTCTGCAAAGGGCTCGCGTTTTCCAACAGGTGCAATTACTTTTACTAATTCAGTAATTGAGCCGGAAATATTTCCTTTCATTTGCAGACCAGTTTCTGTCAATGAAAACGTGTGCATTCGACTCACCGAAGTCTCAACGAGTTGGTCAGGTGTGCTGAGATTCGGAGTCACAAATGTGGATCCTGAGACATACAGAACGATTCAGGTTCCTAAGTGAGTTTTTTAGAAGACATCTTGAACCGAATGAGTGTGGATAGAATAGCAGAGCCATAGTGGAGAGCTTAAACGTTCTATTCTGCCTGTGTCCCTGTTACTTCAGTAGCTAAAGTTCTGTAATTTTCATTAAATACCGTATAATGAGTACATGAGCGGCATTCTACCACCAGCATAATTTGCTAGAGCTTCCACTGTCTAGCATACTTTGTGATACAGTGGAGAAGTAGCCTCTTCTTCCGGCACTGGTAGATAGCAACGTTATTTCGATTAATTTGGAATTTAAATTTTGGTTCTTGCTGTTTCGATCATTTCAATTTACTGAATTTGAGTGGATTCAGTCCACAAACCTTAGCGTGAATACGGACCTATGCAAAGGTAATCGATCCCACATAATGCGCTATACATTCTTCTCAACTCTTAATTGTTTTGCATTCAAAAGGTGTCACCTTGACGCAGTGGGTTGTTGACAAAGTCGGTTTACTCCCGCGTGCGTCAGTCCTCCCGCTCCTTCGTTCGAATGAAATATGACCTCTCATTACACTTGGGTCAGCAGGGCTTAAACCTTATTTGGAACAACTTTTGGGGTTCACCCTTTACTGTCACATTCACCATTAAAAATGGCTCAATTTTTTTCTACATTCGAGTAAAGATCGGTCTAGAAATATGTTCCCGGGAGTAGATTCGGAGAACAGGAATATCATGTCCATTTAGCATTGAAGCAGGTGGCACTTTCAGCATAGAGCTAGTGCCGGAACGCACTACGCGGAGGTGTTATTTATCTTTTCAGACCTTGATTATCCATGAAAAATTTAAACGAATGCATGATGCAACAGTAGTGCTCGCTGCGCGTATATAAGCTCACGCCATTATTAAAGAGAAACTTGTTTACTTTTTCCCTCATGGTGTTACAATATTCAATTCTAAGCATCGCAATTTCATTTATTGATATCTCCAAAGGAGGACGCTTTTGTATTATGTTTTATTTTATTATGTTGATGCAAAACGGCTCTTAGGTTCGCTTGCCCTGATCTCACTTCAAAAGAAGGATTCTGGGCGAAAGCTCTTCCCGAACGGTATTCCGTGGAAGGTAATATTCTACACTTTTCAATCAATCACACGGGTGATCTTTATTACGGCGTCAATGGTGTTCATAAGGTATGTTTTCTTCATTGTCTCCATATGTGGTAGTTTAAGCATTAAAAAATGATTTTCCACAAAAATTTCCTATTTAAATGTTTTTTCCTCACAGTTCCTTTTTAGGGTGTGTTTTTGGTTGGTATCAACGTTTCGCTCCCCATTTGGATAATTGTTGATATCTATGGCAACAGCGTAGCCGTCGAATTCGTAGGTGAGTTGCACCTCCGAATTTGTTTTTTCTTAAGGCGCTTAAGCACTGTAACTCATTCATATGGCCGCGTAATGGAAACTGTTTTCACTGAGCGGCTCTGGTAATGTCAATGAAGTAGTGAGAACGAAACTTCTGGGAACTGCATTTCTAAAACATTAGTGTATTGGAATTATTCGTATCGGGTCATCCCATAATTACTGAGACTATTGCAATGAACTAGTGAACTTCATTCTGGAGTGATACTTTTGTTTACAGACCCGTCAGACTTCCGTGTGCCTCGATCGGCTTCAGTAACTCCACGTATAACCAGTGCCGGCAGTTCGAATTATGAGACGCCTTCCATTGAAGCGCCTATGGCGTCTTCTCAACAAGCTCAGTCCGTCACTACTAGTTGTGAGTGCTTTATCACCCAATTATGTGTGTTGCATCTCTCTTCTTCTGCTAAAAATTCTTCGAAAAAATAAAATAGTGTCTAAATGCCTTGAAAATCCTTTAAAACATTGAGGACAGCGCTCGTTTTGGCTTTTTGGCAGGGTGAGACTGGTGTAGTTACGCAAGCACGGCCGTATCGCGCCAACTTTGTGAAGTTTGAGCGGTTAATAAATCAAAACATGAAAAATATTAAGTAATTTCTACAATGGTCAATGTGCAAAAATTGTCCAGGTGTGATGCTCGAATTTTGACCAAATGAATGTGTTCTGGCAATGGAACTAGCAATGTATTGTCGCTGAAGTGGACTGCAAAAGCGTTTTTGCCTTCAACTCCTTCCCTTCCTGCTCACAGTGTATCCACTTCAGCCACTATTTCATTTGATTGATTGATAGATTTGTCAAGAAAAAGAAAAATGAATCGTTGAATATTTTGTAAGTCGCAGGTCGCGCAAAAATGGATAGCGTGGATGCGAGCACATAAGTTTCGCGCTGTCTCACGTGGCATGCGGGAGTCTGTGTCCTGCACTGTCAGTGTGCTAGTCGGAAGAGTAAAATTGTGTTGCCATCCAGGAGCTCTTTTAGTGAAATAGTATTTAGCATCAACGAATTTCGATGCTCTACGATTCCATCAGATGGCAGGTCGACATGTTTCTCTAAATTCGATGCGAAATATTGCCACTCGATGTGGCAGCGAATATACTCAAGGTTATGTGTTTTCGGAAAGGCCTATTCGTAATAACGAAAAGGTAGTCATCGAGGTAAGGGAGTGAACCTAATTCCAATTTTGCTAGTTTTCGTAAACACATGCATTGTAGGTGATCGGCGTTCAGCAGCTCTATAAGGGTGGTTTGGCCTTCGGCGTGACATGCTGTGATCCTTCGACGCTGCGCTCGACAGATCTTCCGGACGACTCATCAGATCTGATAGAAATGCCACAATATTGGGTCGGCATCAAGGATATCGCCTTACAACCGCGAGTAAACACTGTGCTTAGTTTCTGGATTACCGATGCAGGTATGTCTAGTCTGTTTTCTCCGGAACCAACTTCCACATTACTATCAGAATCGTTTAGATTTTTCTCAAAATGTTTCTGCTAATTCTGGTCCAACTTCTTGTCACTGAGTCTTTCTCATAGTTCCTACCAAAAACATTAGAGTGAAAACGGTAACAAGCATGCATTTTAGCTTCTACATTGAAATCAGGTGTCTAATCTAAATTTTTTTCATACTAGCATGGGGTTTTATTGAGAGCCCACCTGTTTAGATCAATTTGAATTTCTCCACTGACAAAAAATTGGAAAATTCGTTAGTAGCGAGTTGGGGTAATCTGCAGTTTTCGTGTATAGCTCTATCATACCCTCCAGAACGATTGTCGTTTGTTGTTCCCTGTTATGACTCGGGGAACTGCAGCTGCCAGATAATTTTTCCAACCTTAATACAGCATCTATGTAGCACTGAATCCGGTTTATTTCTAATGAAACTCAAGCACATAGCCTCATACAACGTATTGCGGAGGCTTCTTAGATGCTTTTCTACAATACTAAGATTTCATCCTATAGCGTACTCTAGTAAGCTTGCTCAAGATGACTTTCTTCGAGAATACAGTAAGTAAAATGGTACTTTGTTGATCATTGTTCTTCGTTCTGATTTTGCGAGTTGTCTATTGACGCTGCTGTGAGGGTATTACAAATCTAGTGATATATTGAAGGTGCACATGTAAATTCCTCACAGAATAGCGCAACGGAAAATCATGCTAAAGTTTGGAGTTTTTCGTTTTACTGGAAAAACTTTCGCAATCGATGGTTGCGGGCTCCCGGGTTGTGGTAGGGAATGTTTCGGTAAAGCAAGACCTTTCCTCTGGCAACAGAATATTGGCAGACATACGTTGATCAATATGATAAATCTTTTGTTCTTTTACATCAATTAGTTTTGCTTTGGAGTCGCCGGTATTTTTCCTTTTCAGGTGAGGTAAAATTCGAAAAGGATCAAGGTCTAGCTCGTACTGTCCTTCACGTCGACAACTCACTTCCTCTTTACATGTATTTTGACCTTTACGGCTCGACGCAAGCAATCAAATTGCGTGGTAATTTTAAAATATTTGTCATTTGTGTGTTTTGCGTGGTGGTGTGTGTTTGCTGCATCCATTTGGGGTAGTGCTTGAATTTGTTTCAAGGAACAGTGCCGGTATCTCGATCTCATTCACCACTGCCGAGAGCTACATCTTCGTCTACCTCCGCTCCTACTCGGGTCGCTCTCCCACCTTTGCCAACGATAATTCGAAGGTGAGTAAGATTCGCCTTTTTTTGCTTAATAATATCCTGAAATCGGCCCGGTTAACCCTTAAAAACAGCGGCGTATTGGCTTGGGCATGTGGGACTGCCTGTTTTCTAGTAGAACCGGTGTTCAATTGATGAATACACAACTTCTATGCTCAAAATCGTATCAGCGATGGCCGATACGTGGAATTTATCCAATATTCATAGAAAAATCGAAAAAAAGAACATATTGCATTGAAAAGCAAAGTTTGTTAAGCCACGCTGCAGTGAACGATGGCGGCATTTGTACCGTGGTTCTTTTTTTTTTCAGAAAAAAAAGTACATCTCGCCATCCGTAGAACTTCCTTTGAACTTCTAGCGCTCTTTTTCTTTCCATGCTCGTGACAAGAAAAAGAGCGAGTAATGAACACTTAGTTATGAGTTGTGAGATTTATGGCCACAAAGCTGAAGCCGTATATTCTATATTCTTCACGAAAACTTGGAAATTATGGTCTCCACTTTAAAATTTGTAAATATAATACATTTCTCTCTCTCTCTCTCTCTCTCTTCGTTTGACCGCAACTTCGGTAGTTATGGTTGTCCATGTTGTAAAGCTGTAATTGCTATGATAGGAAGAGGATCGAAAACAAAAAGAATACATCTTTCGGCCGCTACTGCACGTGACCATTTGAGCAGCATGAAGTCTGCCTAATCTATACTGGATAACCCATCTGTCAAATACTTATGATGACTAATGCTGAGGACGTTGAAGGAATGCTATTGTGGTCATCATAGGAAAATTTTTATCTGCGCTTAATATTTTCAATTGATCCTTTCAGGGAACCTTCGACAGTGCCATCTTCACGTCAGTCTCAACCTAGCGAGTTCACATCTAATATTATGCGTGTGCTTTGTGGGTTCTCTTATTCTTTGCGTATTCACATTGCTCTCTCGAAGGCCATTAACAGTTGAAATGTTGGACGATAGAGGCCGTCGTTTTGTTCGAAAAATGTCTTTCGAAATGTCATATCGTTCATCTACGTGTTTTGGTGTCCACTTAATTACCTTCATTAGGCCCACATTGCTGATATACAATATTATTTTTAATGGATATTTTCCGCTAGCTTACACGCTGTAATGTAGCGATCCTTTTTGCTTGTCGCTACTAACAAGGTCCAAGGCAGGGTCAACCGTCCGTTGGACATCCAACGCGAAGAAGAGAGTAATGCCGAGAGTGAACGTACGCACGGAGACACAGACGGCTCGCGGGTGGCGAGAGTGAATGCCGGCGCGGAGAGCGGTCAACATCGGTCCAACGTCGCTCCAATATCGGTCCAACGTAACGGTTGACCCTGGTCCAAGGTCCGCTGCACTGCCAGGAATCGGAAATGCGACTTGCAATTTTCGGTTTTTCTTGGAGGTGCTAAACAGTCAACAAGCACAAGTACGATTAACACATTGGCGACCAAGCAGTTTTTGGGTATTCCCGAAAACTGCGTTCTAATTCTGAAACGCTTCCATACGGTGTACATACCAAAACAATGAGAACACAATGCGGAAACTGCTGAAACATCATTTGCCTCGTACATATGCTGAATGGCTGCAAACCAAGCAAAAATCTTCCAGTCCCGCGATGGTGAAACTTCGGAACACTCGCGAAAAATTCCAATTTTCCACTGTAGAATCCTCAAATGAAGTTGAATACAAATCTCTTTGTTGCCAATTGTTGTACCATTGAACTAGCTAATAGCATGCAAAAAGGCAGCTATCTACATCAAGAAAGAACAACCTTATCACTGAAAAAGCAATTCCAAGCAATCCTTCTGTAGAACTTCTACTGTGAAAGATGATCAAAGAAGGTGGCCATTACAAGTTTGACACGTTTCTGGGTTAATATGGCACCGCTCAAAATTTGGAATATGCGCAAAGGAAGAAAATTCAGGGGGTGTCGCCCGGCATCGGGCGACATTGTCGCCAATGTGTTAATATTGTGCGGGTTCAAATTCTTGGGGTGAATATTGAAAGAACGCAACTGCAGCTGTAAGCAAATCCTACATATCTGAAATTTTTCTATGAATTTCCCAAATTTCTATTAAACATTTTGCAGTTTTTGAGTTTTTCGAATGAAATCGTAAGGCATCATTCACTGTTCGCTGTTTACGTTCAGTACTAAACGTCTTAGTGCGTTAACTTTCAGTGCGCGATGAAGCGAATGGAACAGCACTGCCTAATCTTTTTGACGACGATTACGAGGAAAACAGTGGTGAGTTTTCATTCTATTTCACGTTTTTCACTTCTTTGTTACGTTTGTTGTTTTCCTTAGGGATGATTTATCAAGTGTCAATGATGGAAATGCTCTTAGTCATTTGCACAGCAAGATGCAAATGACTGGCGCTTGGTTGCCGGCACAGGTGTACATGTCATTCATTCACCTATTATGAATGTAATGGGCATTCACCCCCCCCCCCCTCACTGAAAACCTCACTCACAGAAGGAATGAATCCAGGTCGCCATGGTTTCAACATGGGATATAGGCCGTCTGTTGAGACTGATTTGAAATCTATCTTTCATATCTGCGTGCTCTTTTGAACGGAATTATGAAGGTTTTTTTTGCGTGATGCGCTAAATGCTATCACTGAAAACTTCCTCATTTGGCTAGCGAGGTGAATCTGATTTCCGCCCGCCAGGCGATCACATGATAGCGTGAGTGAGTAGACAGCAAGTTATGGGATCATTTTCTCGCTGAATTCCTTTTTTATTGCGTGATCCTTTTGAGAAAGAGAAGCATCGTTTGCCAACGATTGATTGACCGTAACTGCTTTTGTAAGGGGTTTGCGAGCAGTTCTTACTCGTTTGTGGCATTGTCCAATCCAACATTCTTGGGTAATTGTCAAGGTTGTACTTTGGATGGGTTATCATGTAAAAAGGCGTCAATCCAGGCGGAACTCGAAACAGCACCCCACGAATTGGGCAGTTGGTTACCGTTTGCACCACTGAATCACCGCTTCATCTTAGCCCACCTAAGCAAAAGCTACAACTAAACCGTGGTAAATATACCACGAAAAGCTAGGTAAAATTGAAACTGATGTTTGTGGTACACAGGTTCTCTCAGTTTTCATCATTGGTCTTACTACGTGTCTTTCAAGTCCCTTTTATTATCGTTCCCTTTTAGGTCATGCACGCCGTCCTGCTCTGCCACCGAGAAGGGGCGTCGATGAGCTCATGCTGCGGCGCACTATCGACGACCTGCTCAGCGATACGTCTGCAGACCTTCCCCGTCCTCCGCCGTTGGCCCCAAGACTGGTGAATAGAGTTTCTTCCATGGTTTCTTATCTGTCTTGTACTGATCACTGACGTTTATATTTTTTGACGCCATCACTTGGACCGCTTCCGGCGCCACCATCTCGCCCTCCTCCACCCACTCCTGCTGTTACAAGCGTTCCGGCTACTGCATCAACGTTATCGCCATTTCGCAGCGCTAATACTCCACTGGTGTGTAATGCGTTTGCTCTTTCTGGATCATTCAGCCGAGCTCCAGATTATCAATCAAATTATGTAGGTGTTTTCATGTGCTAGACACATTCTATCACTGTTTTAGGAATCACTGCTTGGAAGGCCTTCTGGTGCCACACAAGATCTCCCGTCATCGTCTCGTTCTTCATTGCCGAATCTTCAAAGTCTCAGCACTACTTTTACACGTGCACGAAGTGCGCAGTTAACCGTGGATCGCGATTCAAGCGAAGGTGATGATGGTGCTCAAGGAGACGAGCTCGATGAGTGCACGGTGAGTATTTTGACCGTCCTAGATCCTTCAAACTCTGTATCAATTTCTTGTGCTGCAGGTGTGCATGTCGGCTAAAGTGAATAGTGCTCTATACAAGTGTGGTCACTCATGCATGTGCTACGATTGCGCAATGCAAACCTACCGCTCATCAGGTCTTTGCCCTCTTTGCCGTGCCTCAATTTTAGATGTCATCAAGATCTTTAAAGCGTAAGCACCTGATTCATATGATTATTAGATATAAGACCTCGAAAGTGCTACCCTTGTCATTAATTCCGTGCAACTAAAAACCTAGTAAAAAAAAGTGTTCTGTCTGTATTGGTATTGGTTATCTTTTACTTCTTCATGTAGAGCATTACTGCATCAAATCCAGTATTGATCGTGTGTTGTAGCTGCGTGAGCACAAGCGAATAGGACATATTGTTTTGCCTAAGTGATAACTCGTTTGCTCATCAGCGACTGCTATGAATTGCCGTCACTACTATTTATTCAAATGCCTGTTCTTGTCTTCACACTTTCATGGTTATTTGCTGATGTTTGTTTACACTCTAGTACTACTCACTCACCTGTCATTCATCTGATCACCACTATGTGGGAGTTTCAGTTTACCACACAGTATTTTCCTGGACGAATTCAGCCTTAGCATGCATTTTTTTACTGTAGCTGTTCAGCTCCACTGAGATTGATTTTTATCTGGAGTTCGCAGTTTCTTTCTTGATGATGTTCAAAAACTAGCGTGTTCCAAATTTATTTTATGATAACTTGCAGTTACCTTTTTGTACTATTTTCGAACGAGTCAAATTTTGCAACTGCAAAGCGTGGTTAAATGCTACTTTTCATACATTATATGCGTTTTTGTTTCGGTAGGCGTGTGGCCGTTTGTCACTTTACGTGTACTGTTTGTCGAATAATCCTGTATGATTCAGATAAAGATGTAAACTTTTTTTTATTCTGTCCCATATTCGAATGAGGTGTAGGATTTGGCTGAAAGCGAAGGCAAAGGTTTGCTAGAGCTTTCGTTGGCACTGACGAAATTTGCCAGGGATTGCTATTATCTAAAGGCAAGAAGAAAACAAAAGAAACCACCGAAAACATCAAAGTGAAGGATCTGAACTGAGGGGTTGTACAAGGTCGGGTGTAGTACGACGACAGAGTTATGAGAAGACACAAAACGAGTGAGACCGTAAGGGGATCGCGAAGAAGCGGCTGCTGTGGCGAAAAACGAAATCTAGACCCTCACTGAAAAGGTGCCATTCCCCATTTCTCAGTTTTTTTGAACAGTATGTGGTATGGTTAGATGGAACTAGATTTCTTATAACCAATCAGTGTTGAAATTGCTCTAAAAGCCTATCTCTCTCGGAGAGGTTGATTCGACGCTGTTTGAGAGAATCTGCCTCGAGGACGCTGGAAGTTTCATATGAGTTTTTGCCACTTGAAAGGCAACATCTCTCCAACTCTGTGAGCACTTGCAGAAACTAGGATAGTTGAAAAGCGGAAAGTTTCGACTTTTCAGAAGCCTGTTTAGCTTCTTTCCAAATCTCTTGATTGGGGAGATATTTGCGTCCAGGATCTATCGAGGACTACTCTTTACCATTCAAAAAGTCGCTTCTTTCTTCACCATTGCAAATTATTCATTGGCGATTCTCGAAAAGTTTCTAGAATACGTTCTTCAATGTGAGGGATAAGAAAAGGGGCAATCGTCATTGTAAGATTTCGTCTCAGTATAGGCCATGCATCCGCCCTTCACTCAAAGTTGCAGAATCGATTGAAAAGTGTTGTACTATGATGACTAGTTGACAGAAGCTGTATTGTAGTAAACACACTTCGTAACCCTACACCTGAGGGACAGCTTGATTTGTCTAGGACCCTTTCTTCACCGTTGCCGTTTTTGCGGCAACGTCTGTGACAATAGTGCCATTCTCAACGAGGCAAGGGAGCGGGCGTTAGATAGAGGAGCTGCCTTTGTAGCGTGTGTGCACATTTGGCCCCATTCCTTGCGGAGATGTACTTTCATTCTTTGTACTGCTTTCGAATACGTCCACCTCATGAAGATAGAGGAATGGAGCGACTGGATCTGCGAAGAATATTTTGTATCATGTTTTTTTCACACATTCGTTTTGCTGCGTTACACCCTCTCACTCCCATCTACACCATGATGTCTGCACCATATTAGTGCGAAGGCGCAGGACGAGCAGAAGAAGGCGACGAATAGTGCCAACCACAAAAACGAATGTCATATTCGTAATTAGAACCCCATATAACCCCTATACAGAAGTTCACAGCGAATATAGTGGGGATCAGTGATGGCGCCACCTGACGCCAAATGGCGCTAGCGTCAAAAATGAATATCATATCCGTGATGAGGACCCTTCATAAACCCCATAGCTGAAGTTTCAGCGAAAAGTATTTTTTGACCCATCTCACCATACTGGGGTTGTAATAGTGGAATTGCCGGCTTTTCAACAGATCCCTGCTGTTATTTCCATTTTCAGTGAAACATCCTGATGGGGAACCCTTGAATCTCCTTTTTGCAAATTATGCAATCTGTAAAGGACATTGTGCTGATGCATTTTAAGTCAATATAGATAAGTGACCTCGAGATTTTGGACTTCGTCCGCGCCGAAACAAAAGTTGCAATACATTGAATAACGAAGAAAATTAATTCCCAATAGCCAGTTTTATCATCGCGAAAAATGAGTCCACAAAAGAGTCAATCGGAGATCAGTCGAATGTCATAGGTATGTCATAGTCGATGGTCACCGTAACGGCCGAAACTGTACTGGTGGATGATTGGCGCGCTCCAGTAACACAGCCCGCGACCGCCGTCTCGCAGACGCCCCTAGATTTTTACGTAGCATCCAAGCCGGGTGTATGTAAAGTGGCGCGGCCACATTGCCATTGGGGCGCATGGGCTGTAATTGCCAGCTAGGCGCCGCCTATATTTCGGCCGGATAACTCGTCCGGCTCGTCCAATGCCGCGACTTTCTAATTGATCGGTCCAGCCAACGCCGCGACCTCCTGATTGATCGGCCTACATTGGAGCGCGTCAGTGGAGACACCGAATTGCGGACATTGCCTCAACCGTCCTTTCACCCCTTTCCCGTCCACTCCATTCCGACCTTTCACCCTTTCCCTTCTACTCCATTCATTCCTCATTCTCTGGGAAGCTTCACATTCTTCTCAGAGCTTCAATTTGCTGCTAGCTACTAGGAGTGACTGTATCACAATCTTTTTGGAATTGTGATACTTTCTACTTCAGTGAAGCTTGCACATAACTGGAATTGGAGAGCTGTGGTAAGTTTTTCAGACATTTGATCGTGAAACAGTTCCATTCGATTTTCTCCTGGTAGGAATTATTCATATCACCCATTCCAGCCTGCTCTTCGGTGGCGACCATGAACTCTTCGTTGTTATCCATCCTCTTATCACTGCAGCGTCTCTTACCACTCTTACCTTACCCGGGAAACTTCAATAAGAAAATGGAAATGCGCAAACCAATGCCCTCGATCGGTCAACGAGTTGTTCTGACACTTGCCGTTGTATGTAACTAGCTCATTTTAGCTCATCTCCCATTCGAAACTTTTTCCTTGATAAAGACGATCGATACTGGCTTTCCACGATAACAAGCTTGCGTTTTGTGTTAGGTGTTTTTTTTTCATAGTCTCTACTGCTTTTTCTTTAATTTAATAGATTTTTCAAAACACAATCTTCAACTCAGAGCTCACGGGAATTCTTGGATTATTTACATACAACGTGGTTTGACGCCCGTACAAGGATATGTGGAACAAGTGAGAGGTAGTAGATCTTCGCTCTACTAACACAGCGGAAGCCTTCCACAAGTAAGATTGAAAAATTCAATAGTTACCAGTTAATAAACGAACTTAACATTTCTCAATTCAAACCTCTTCACTCACAGATGAAGTTTCCTTTCAGCCGATTGAATGTAGAGTTCGGTATAGACCATCCCGAAATGCGAGTTCTTCTGGAAAAACTGAAATATATCGACTTCGAGGCGAGGTGCACGCTACGCCGGATTAGAGAAGTAAGCGGTATTTGCAAGCAGAACTTGCTCGTGTCAGTGTAAAACTGTTTTTAGCATCCCTAAAGACGATAAGCATTTGAGGAAGCGAGACAGGGAACGGAGAGAAAAAATCGAGACAAGTATGAAGAGGTATAACTAGACCTCGAATGATGGAATCATTCTAGATTAGTAACCTATTCAGATTCGGAGAAGTTTATCGTCAGCGAGGAGTCACGATGGCAGAAATTGAAGACTATTGTAGATATATGTCGCGATATGTGTCAGAAAAAACTATTTAATATTGTGAACGATGTTTTTTTACAATAAAGGTTGCCTGAATAACTGAGTATTGAGTGTTCAACGAAGGTTAATCAAATACCGCAAGCCACTGAAAGTAGAATGGGTCAGAATTCCATAATGTTCCTGATACATCTACTTCTTAGTAGCTAAACGGAGTTCTCAAATGCAGGAAAAATGCACTACGAGGCAAAAAAAGATGAAACAAAGAAGAAGAAGACTAATCGGTAGAAAAGAAGAGCCTTACAAGTCAACCGAAGAAATGTCCGCAATTCGGCGTCTCCACTGACGCGCTCCAATAGGCCTATCAATCAGGAGGTCGCGGCGTTGGACGAGCCGGACGAGTTATCCGGCCAAAATATAGGCGGCGCCTAGCTGGCAATTACAGCCAATGCGCCCCAATGGCAGTGTGGCCGCGCCACTTGACCGCCTTCCATCCGAACCAGTTTGAAGCTCCACAGTTTCACCTGTAGAGTAGGCTCAGTTTTTATTTCCCTTAATTAGAAGTTCCACTACTCTCTCCTGCTTTTATGCACTTGAGTCACTTGCACTCGCCTTGCAAAAAGAGAACTGTTGAGTTTTACTCAGTCGTGCGATGATTTAGTATAGCGTAATGTTGTTTTTGTTTTCGTCTACCTTATGTAGCGTATGAATGAATAAATAAATAAAAAAAATAACAAATGTCAAGGATATACTCATTTTCATCTAGCTATCAACTTCTAATGGTTGACTTAATGGTATGTACTATTCTATTATATTCAATCAGTTATAAAAGAAGGACTAAAACAAAAAAGAAAAAAGTTTAGTTACTCAATTGTTAAAGGAAGTAAAAAATAGAATATAACAAAACATTCACATTAGTAAATTGTACATAAAAACACTATTGAAAGTTTCTT